TCAATCTGGTTACATAGAGAAGATCTTGAAGAAATATAACTATTTTAACTGTAAACCTGCGTGTACTCCGTATGATGCTATTGTAAAGCTATTCAAGAACACTGGTGAGAGTGTAAGGCAATCTGAATATGCTAGCATCATTGGCAGTCTCCGTTATGCGACAGATTACACTAGACCAGACATTGCATATGTTATGGGATTGCTTGGCAATTAATAGATGTCCTAGTAGAGATCATTGGAATGCTATAGAGAGGGTCATGAGATATCTCAAGAGAACAACGAACCTCGGTATACATTATCAAAGGTTTCCTGTTGTACTGAAAGGGTATAGTGATGCGGATTGGAATATCCTATAATACGACTCTAAGGCAACCAATGGGTATGTTTTTAACATCGTTGAAGGAGCTGTGTCTTGGAAGTCTAAGAAACAATCAATCTTAGCTCAATCAACTATGGAATCAGAGATGATAGCACTAGCAACGACTAATGAAGAAACGGGTTGGTTGAGATGATTATTGTCAGAGATTCCCTTATGGGAAAGACTGGTCCCTCCAGTATTGATCCATTGTGATAGCACCGCAGCTCTTGCAAAAGTTGAGAATCGGTTCTATAACGGAAAGAGACGATAGATTCGTCGTAAGATATTCTTGTTAGAGAAAACCTAACGATAGGAGCAGTGAGGGTGGATCATGTAAGAGCCAAAAAAAAATCTAGATGATCCTTTGACGAAAGGATTAGCTAGAGAGAAAGTCCAAAATACTGCCAAGGGTATGAGACTTACGCCTACCGAACCACGGACTACAAGTGATGGTTACCCGACCCAATAGATTGGAGATCCCATGAAATGGATTCAAGGGGTAATAACAAGTCATGAGTAGTATGCGAAACATACATGCATAGTGAAGCATGAATCCCAAAGCAATGGAGGTTGAGTTAAAAGCTCTTCATGAGATCTATACCCTACGTGGGGTGGAGTACTTTACTTTGGGGGTATTTTTGGTAGACTCGCATATGTGAATGTAGGAGTGGGAGTGGGGCCGCTCCCTACGGACCTTTGGAGGCACAAAGTTGCTAGAGCATTCACTAAACCAGGATAACATGCAGGGCCATAAAAGCACGGTCGACGAGAGAATGACACTCAATGAAAAGATCTAGTGTGCTACACTGTGTGAGATAGGGTTCAAGACTATGAGTCACCCTTATGAAATCAGAAGCGTAACCACTACGCCAAGGTTCAACTCGAGAGAGACCTTGGTTTATGCCTGATCTTATAGATCTGTTGATGCTTAAAGGTATTTTCAAAACTATTCAAGTGGGAGATTGTTGGAAATGAAGCTTGTGAATAGCTTTGAAAGCTATATGTCCTAAGACAATAATACCACATTAGTGGGTGAACTCCTACCAAATGGGTATAAAGATTGGGTTCTCACCTAAGGGCATACCCCTTGGAGTGACCCACTTTTGTTAGAGAGGGAGGACCAAGCAGGCCACCACACACGCTGGCTCGCCGTCCGTCCGACTGACCAGTCGAGCGAGTGGGTGGGTGAGTGGGTCGGGGACTAATAGTTTTTGGAGAAATTATGAGATTAATTATTAACAATTTTTTGTATCCTTAATAGTTACGAGATAATTGATTAACAAGGAATATTCGAGAGATTAATAGTTACGCTAACCTCAATTTTTCGTTATTCTGTAACTAACAGCAAGTGCCCACCACATTAATGCAATTCCATTTATAATTGTATATTGAGTGTCATGTAAAATTTGCAATTGATCAAATACCATGAATGTGGATGCTCTTATGGTGTTTGTAAGACTTTTAATGAGTAATTATGGTAGTATATTATTACTATATATAAATTTGAAGTAGGTTTACTGTTGCATAAAAACTTACTTTTTGATATCCCAAATTTAATTAAATCACTACTTAGTCACTATATTGTATATTTAGCATTTTGATATCTCAAATTTAATTTTAATATAAATTCATTGAACAATTATGTTTTGGTATCTACATTTTATTAGATTTTCGTACCTATAATTTTTTAAATTTATACTGTTGTATAAAAACTTACTTTTTGATATCCCAAATTTAATTAAATCACAATGTAGTCACTATAATGTACATTTTGCATTTTGATATCCCAAATTTAATTAAATCACAACGTAGTCACTATAATGTACATTTTTCATTTTGATATCCCAAATTTAATTTTAATGTAAATTCATTGAACAATTATGTTCTGGTATCTACATTTTATTATATTTTCGTACCTACAATTTTTTAAATTTACATATTGGTCCAATGTTTAGATTTCACTTGAATCCATGAATTCAATCCACCAATCCTTTTGAACCAATCCATGAATCCAACCCACCATAGCATAAAAGTATAAATTTAGTTTGTACAATAAAAGATGTTGTATCACTCAACTGTAGACGAAGATTCATCCATTTTATATTTGCTCATTACGTGAAACATTAAATAAAATGATAAAAGAGAGACGACCCTAAAATATTACAAGAGAGACGACCCTAAATTTAGTTTGTACAATAAAAGTGTACTAAACAAACTTTTACTAACTACATGTAACAAAATATGAGACATCTACATAAGCAAGTGTCAATAAACTGCTACGGTGAAAAGGGTTGATTGTTGTATTGACGGCCAACTAAAAGAATTGGTCAAAAGCTTTACATCATCTACTTCCTCTTTGTTTTATTTTCACTCCCCTTCCATAACCCTTTCTTTGTTTCTTTCTTTGCCTTTTTCGTCTAACCCTAATTAATATACTATTTTTATATGTTCTAATCACAAGTATGAATGAGTCCATAAATGACTCACCAACAGTCTAGAGAATTAATAATTGAACCATGAACCACTAACTTTTTCAGCTCAATATCGTGTCTAATTAATAATAAATATATATGGTTATTATTTGTTAGAAAGGCGCAATTTTCCACTTTGCTTCTCTCTAGAGTTTTTCTTTTTCACCCGAGCTAGATATTTCAATAATTATACATGGAATGTTTGGCTAGGTATCTACACATATAAAATAAATAGTTTCCATTTTTTTATAAAAAAGTAAATAATTTTCATATTAAATAAATCACCATAAAAGGAATTAAGTCTCAAATATGCAAATTATAATTGTGTACCTAAACTTAATAGATCTTTATATTTATAAGCTAAATTTTTTTTTTTGGCATATAAGTCCTCAAAATATTGATGGACATTATATTTTAGTACCTAAATTTTTTTTTTTTTTTGTATTATATTGTGGTACCTCAACTTTTGAAGTTCTACAAATAGGTCTAATTTGTGTATGTGTAACTAAAACACTCTCGAATAAATGGATATCTATACCCAACTCATACACATTTAGATTATGGAAGTAAATATCCATACCCTACCCAAACCCATCTACGAACTTCCAAACCCACATATACGTCACCCATACCATACCCATATCATTGGGTCTACTTGGGTTTAGCTATATATAACTTACTAGCCAAAATTTTCAAAATTGGATGTTCACCGCCATATATCTTGTCTCAGTCAAGATCATATTATCAAGTGAATATTACTAACAAAAAATAGGTTTAGACTAATAATACTAACAAAACGTTACAACGGGCCACATAATACATGCCATAAGGCCATCTCAGCCGCGCGACTAGGCGCAGCATCGCTACCTAATCTTGCTAACATATGAAGTTGAAAACCACTCTTAGTTCCCATTTGGTTTGTTGTTATATGTTGGTGTTATATATCAAGTGGTGCATGTCGATTGGAACTACTGTTCAGTGGAATTTGTGTATTCAAATGGGTGCTTGGAGCAAGAATATAGATTGATCAATGGGAGAAGAAGGGCTATCAAACATCATGGTTTTTTATGGGCAATATAAAAAAAATTATTAATCACAATGCATCCCTCCTTTGAATATGGAGTAGAAGCACTAAGCCATTACAAAGAGACTACATTCTGCAGTGCTACTAAACTGATACTCTCCCCTCTACCTGCTGCTACTGTTCTACTTCCTACTGATTACAAAAATACACTACTACAATCCGAATTAAGACACAAGTTGTCAACTCTTGCTAGTGCAATCATCTTCTAACCAATCTAACTACCTCACTACTCGTTTTAGTTTTCCCTTCGTGAATCCTTGAGCATCGTTCACGCCAAATCATGCTAACTGTAACATTCCAAACTAGCCTGCCCACCAGAGCAGCAACCTTCTCCTGGACTGTCCAGGATAGGTATTCATCATAGTTTAAGAACCTTGGGCTGGATACCTGAAGCATTTGCATATACCCTTGCAGCACACTGAATGAGTAGGGACATAGGAAAAATAAGTGACTTCTAGTTTCTTGTCGAGCAGAGCAAAGCTGGCAGGTATCATCTCCAACTTTCCCCCAAGAATTTAGCTTGTCCTTAACCTATCTGTCACCACTAGCCAACTGAGAAAGCTATGCCGGGGAATCGACAAACATCATGGTTTGTTGTTAGTTACCTAATACTTAACAGGGAGACATCACTAAGCCTTTTGCCATTTGTTGCAAGTTTTTTAGACATTTCTTATATGCAACTTCTGGTTTCCGTTAGAGTGCTCATTGCTCGTTTCCATCAGTACAAGCATCTGCTTGTTTCCTTCAAAAAAATCGCAGCTTACTATAAACAATCATTGTTGATTGAATGCAGGAAGAATACTTATTGAGTTGTGGTCAGGACGTCAAAGCTAGGAGAAGGCTATAAGAGAGGTTCTTGCGATTTAAGGGTAAAGTATCTTTCTCCCGAAAATTGTTTTACTATGTACTTTCTACTTTTTTTAATGCATCTATTTAAACACTTCACATAATTAGAATCCACAAACTCATAGAAGGCATCAATTTAATCAATCTTAACATCCAAACGAATACACACAAGTTCCACACTGCCTATGATAGTATAATGTAGCAGTTAGTAGAGCAATATGAAAGGAGGACCAATCATTATTCGCATGATAAGACGTTATTAGAATTAGCCAAGGAATGCTACACGTAGGTTTTGTAAACCAAGAGCCGCATGCAGAAAACAATCCCATGAAAATGATCGAAATGAAAAACAAGGATGTAAACTGGAGTAGCAGCAAGGCTTTCAAGTTTCAACCCTATTGACAACATGAACGTTTCAGATTTCTGTGCTACATTTCCAAAAGAAAAAAAGATAAAGCTGGGGATTTAATCTGTAAATTTGAATATCACAATAAGCCTCGCCGATCGGAAAAATTTGCCACGTTTCATTGAGAAGGACTACCATTAGCTGAATACAATATGAGCGTTGAATTCAATCAACTGCATGAAGTTGGGGGACAATCTCACTGCTTTTCTTCATACCAGATCTGTAAATTGTTTACTTCAGGGTCACCAACGCCATCAAAAACTGTGAAATGGTAACCAACTAGTCCAATCCCACCTGCAAGAACCATGAAATTTCTGCCGCTTATTGCATAATCACCTCTCCCATAGACTGAAATCCAAAGTTTCTGAGACACAGAAATCTAACCACTAGTCAACATGGAAGAAATGGGAAACCAGAAACCATTCTGACTTCTGCAACAGCTAGTCTTTACAGTGCACTTTAGTGTCTACAAAGGATGCATCCTCTCCACAAATCACTTAAACCAAAACCCTGCTGCCATATTCATCGATCAGAACTGTAGTACTATTGCCCTGCTACTGATTCTTTCGTCTAATGATCCAAAACAAGGCAAACTACATCGAAAGAGAAGGAAAAGGGAAGATATGCCAACCTAAGTCACCTTTGTCGGCCAATCTGTGTACAGAATGCCTAACCTCAAAGGGGACTCCAAATCTACTTTCCGTTTCGACAGCTCTCTTGAATGAGATGCAGTTTATCTCAATATTGGGTGTTGGCCAAAAGAAATGGAAGGAAAAGCTGTTCTAGGCACTTGGCTCCAAAGTAGTGATCTTCTGGAAATTGATCTCTAGTTCAGGGATGTAAGCAATCTTGGGCCAATCTTCTCCATCATCCGGTCGACATCTATGCTCCAACAAAGGACACCAAGAAACGTTCAGGTGAGAAAGATTTAACGGAAGCCCTTCTTCTGGCAAGCATTTGAGATTAGGGCAGTTACATATCTGCAATTCTCTGAGAGAGTGAAGGTTTTGAAGCCCTTCCCAATCTAGTGATGTCAGGTTTGGAAAATCCCAGATCTTAAGAATGGTAAGAGTGGAGGGCAGCAACCTCTTCCCTGGGAAAGATTCCACGCCCAAGCAGCCCATTAACAGAAGCCTAGTCAAATTTGGTGCAGGCATTGTTTCTTGGAGTGAAGAAAACAACTTCGGGCATTCCCTAATTTCCAAGCAAGTCAGACGAGGGAAATTGCTACCAGTCACCTCAGATGCTGAAAGAGTTTCAAGGTTTAGACATCTAGTGAGTATTAGTGCCTTTAGGCCGGGAAACAACTCCAAGGGGAAGCTCCTTAGCGAACTGCAGTTTCTTATTTCGATTCTTTCCATCGTAGAAGAGAACCCTCCCATCTGTTCCATTGCCTCTAGTAGGGTATCAACTGAATTGAATCTGTCAATCATTAAAGTGTGCCGCTCCGAAGGCAATTTCACAAGCTGAACATCGCGAGTGTCATCCTTGAACTTAATCTTACAGATGTTTGGAGCTCTTGGCAATGATACTCCAAGCTGCTGACATCCTTCTACCTCAAGCAGTGCTAAAGAAGGAAGGTGACTAGGCAGGGCTTTCTTCAGATTGGGGCAATGTCTGAAGTAGAGCTTTTCAAGAACCGGGAAAGCTTCTCCGTCAAATGGAATCCACTCACACCATGACAACATGCTTTCAAATCTCAAGCTTTTGAGGGACCCAAATGGCTTCCATTTGGATGTGCAACTCCCGTAGAACTCATAACCAATAGTCTCAACGCTGACGTATGCTGCGATTGAGAGGTCGCTAAGAGAAACTAATTGCCCCAAGGGAGGAAGGGTGTTGCAGTGCTGGCCTCCACTGAGTTTCAGTGCCACTATATTTGAGAAAGCAGAACTGCCAACCCAATCGGGAAACCTTGTGCCCCTGTAGCCTACAATTGATAGTGACTGGATATTTGTATGGGGCTGTAATTGCTCGAGTACAGTCCTTTCATGCACTGAATCATGAGTGTCTCCATCCCACATGAAGTTCAGCTGTTTTAGGTACTTCTTAACCTTCAAATTGGCTTCCAAAGCATCTTGTGCTTCCATCACATGTTGAAGTTTCCAAACATTAAGTTGACCACCAAGATGCTGAAGCCCACCGAGCATTTTAATGCAAGATCCGTTTCCTCTTCCTATAATGAAATCTGTCAATACATGCAGCTTTGTCAGTTTATCCATCTGCAATGGCATCACCTGCAAATTGGTTTCTCTGACATCAAGATGACGCAAATTGATTAACCTTCCTAAGTTGTTTGGCAGCTGAACAAGCTCTCTGCACTGGTGCAAGATCAATGTCTGCATATTGTAAACGCCACAAAGTGTTGCGGGTAAATATTGAATCGCGGTGGCTGATAGATTAAGATATCTTAAATGCTTCAAGTGGCCGATTGAATCAGGTAACTCAGTTAGAGTGCGAAGGTGGGAAAGAGACAAAACCCGCAGTCGCTTACGTGTGCGCAACAAGTTGAAGGTAGCATCAGTGACAAAGTATGATGACCAATCGAAGAGCCAGAAAGTCCGCAGAAAACCTGCCTCATGGATACTTTCAAGCTTCTGAGCAAGATTGCATTCTGTTATTGCATATGACAAATGGCGAATTCTTCCATTGATCTTGCATGAATCATCACAGTCTAATCTAAAGCAAAATTCACTGGACACGTATTTAGCCAAGTCATTGATAAGGTCATGCATCACATAACCAGTTGGATCCACGCTTGACCGTTGGAAAAATGACCTTGACACAAGATCATTAAAGTACTCATCACCCAACTCTTCCATCAGCTTATTTCCTCTCGACTGCTGCTCTATAAAGCCCTCAGCCATCCACAAATACACCAGCTCATCCTTTTCAAAATCATAATCCTTTGGAAATATGGCACAGTAAGCAAAACATCTTTTCAAATGTGATGGCAGGTAATGGTAACTCAAATATAGTGCTGGGAGAATTTCATCATTAGACAGATCCCACAAGTTGCTCTTACATATCCTCTCCCAGTCGACAGCATCCTTCTTTGAGCGCATGAGACCACCAAGTGTCTTTGCAGCCAAAGGGAGCCCTCTACACTTCCCCACTATCTCTTTACCAACAGGCTCCAAGTTCGGATGCAACGTGGCACTCCCACCACGAGAAGCATGTCTGACAAACAAGAACCAGGAATCATCACAACTCAACCCCTTTAAATTATATATAGGAACAGTCTGCATGATCGACGCTACACTTTCATTGCGTGTTGTGACCAAGACCACACTTCCTGGCACCCCAGTCATCAAAGGTCGTCTCAAGACATCCCAATCTGCGTATTTATCATTCCAAACATCATCCAGAACAATTAAAAACTTCTTCCCCTTTAATCTCCCCTTCAGCTCCAATTGAAGCTGATTGAAATTACCATCAAAAGTTCCACCCGTAACCTCCTCAAGGATATCCTTCGTTATCTTAGAGATGGAGGGTTCTTGTGAAACACAAACCCATGCTTTCACATTAAAGCAATCCTCTACTCTCCTATCGTTATACACAAGTTGAGCAAGGGTTGTTTTTCCAACACCACCCATACCCACGATGGGTATCACCCCAACGCCATTGCCATTCTCCAAAAACAATTCCATTATAGCCTCTCGATCGGCATCCCTGCCATAGACACCACCAAATTCATCTACAAGAGAAGTACTGGGCAATTTACTAGATGATGGGTTTTCACGAACAAAGCCACCTTCTCTCAAACCAAGACCATCCCTTTGATTCAGCAAATACTCGAGCCGCTCAAGAATCTCCCTCAGCTGAGCTTCTAATTCTATCTTGAAAGGATTACGAGAGAAGAACAAATTCCTCACCTGATGTACACTAATTGAAGAATGATGCGACTCTAGCTCCGACCTCAGAGATTCATAAGCGACCTCGTCCAACAAATCATCAGCAACATAAACTGCATCTTTAAGCTCGTCCAGCCACAGCTTCACGGAGGGTTTTGTAATCTGCTTCTCCTCTGCATCATCCAGCACTCCACTGACATATATAAGCATCGTGTTGAGCTTCTGAAGCAACCCAACAGTGAGCTTTTGACCCCTGAAGAAATCAAGAACCTCTCGCGAAGCTATCCTGTCGAACAGAACTTGGAGGAAAGCCCCTAGAATTGAGCCTCCCACCATCATTGCAGCCATGTATGAAAAATGGATGTCTGAGCTTCTTGGGCTGGCTTCTTGTAGCGAAAGGTTTTGGGTCTTTTAGGAAGGGAGTGAAGGAAAGAAGCTAAACTTCACGAGGAAGAAAAAATAGGGGTATTTGCCTTGCCTCGCGGTCTAGCATTTGATTCTCATGATAAATTTTGGAATAACACGACGCCGGAAAACCTCTATGGAATAGTTTCAATACAAAATGGTTGTCATTCCGGAATAAAAGATTTAATGTTTCATATTCAGAATAAAAGGTATGAATGGCTGGTATGATACTTATGAGATCAATGAGATTGATATTCCAAAATTACTTCTTAGAACCAGTGTCCATTAAACCGTACCGTACCGGCGGTTCAACCACGAAATACCAGTATCGGAGGCTAAACCGATATGCGGCATTTACCGGTATAACGGTTGAACTACGGTTAAACCACGGTTTTACCATAAAATACCCTAGCGCTGACTTTCCCGATACGGTCTCCGGTACGGTTTCATGGACCATGCTTAGAACGTATTGATTTGACAAGTTAGCGAGTGAATTATGCCCAATTTTGACGGCAGATTCTCGACTGGCATTGCGTCTCGTTAAAACATAAAAAGTTGTAATTGAACTGATACATATAATATTATAATTGACTCGATTCTTAGGGTAGTATAGAGTAGGTTCTTTTTGCATTATCAAATCCGAGCGGTTTATGTATCATTACTTTAGCAAACCACCAATTATCTAGTGATAGAAACATTGTTTTGCCCTATTGAACTAAATAAACAAGTGATGTGCATTCATCCTGCAGATTATTGTTAGTGGTTAGCACGTGTCAACAACTACCCCATCTTAGGCCAAGTTTAACCTAAAATGGCGTTGTCGTATAGTGGCAATCAAGGTCGTATTCACTCGGATCCTGGTACCCTAGCCTACTTCCCACGTTGTTGTTATCTAGCCGATTGGTTTAAGGGTTTTGTGTGGAGGATATGAGTGAACTAACTAGTCTAGAGATAAAATAAAGATAAAACAGGTACTTCGGGGAAATATCCCTCACCTACACTAGGACTAATCTGCAATGTCTAGATACTTAGTGTTTATCGAATGTGGTGAGTGAGCTCTTTTCCGTGGACTTTCGTGGTCATCAACACGCCTCCGAGTACGCCTCCCCTAAACCCATGTAAGGCCACCTCGATCTAGGCTATCGTATCTAGGGCATTAAGCTCATATCTCCTTTCAATGGGTACTACCCACCGTCAACACTGAGGTTTCATCCCAAGTTCTATATAGGAAGACATTTCTATGGCAGGGGTTTGGTCGCCTTGACCACCATAGGATCCTATTCATACATCTAACCTCAATTTGCTTGATGGCGCATACCCGTCTAACCCTAAAACTCCATACCAGTGTAGAAGCTCAAGTAGACTAGTAGAGAAGATTAGGACGACTTACCCAATTACAATCAAAGATAGAATAGCTTCGGGAACGAGGAGTTAGCAGGCTCATTTCGCGGTCGCAATCCACGAGTCATGGTCGCGAACTTTCTCGCGGTCAGTTTGCACTTTGGCCGTGTTCTACCTGGGGAAACTCTATGTTTCTCCCCGCATGCTTCTTCACGAAGTTCGTGCCCTAAGCCCTCCAATTAACGACCGCGATCTTCAACTTGACTTCGCAGGCAAGGTTCTCGGTCGTTATCTCTATCTCCATGCCACTATCTTCGGTTTTCTGCCTCTTTTGATACACTTGTGACCTTAATATGTACCTAACTCGCATGTATTTTTTAAAGAACCCTAAAATCACATTGAAATCAAATAGGAACAAAAATAGGATGCAATTGACGCTGTTCATACAATATGCACATGAATTGTCATGAAACAAACCTTAATATGAACGATAAATAACACGAATTTTAGTGTTATCAACCCCCCCCCTCCCCCCCCCCCCCCCCCCCCCCCCCCCCCCCCCACACACACACACACTTAGGCATTTGCTTGTTCCAAGCAAACCTACTCAAACCAATGCAACATGATAGACAAAATAATGGGGAATGCACTCTAGTTCTTCATTGCATAAAAAAGAGTATACATAGATGAATGAACGTTACTATCATCTTATTGTGCAAGCACAAACTCTCGGGTGAGGACCACACTTACTACCCTAGGCCGAATATTCAAGGTGTGCAGCGGGGGATTTCTCAAACAACAAATAAGCACAATAACTCTGAAAGGTGCTCTTTATTCTTTCTTTTGATTTAGGAGTTGTCATTTTTTCTGGTCCCCTTTTTCAACATTGACGCACATTGCACCAAGCTTTTTCAAACAAGCATCTCTCCCTCATGACCAAGAGTGGATGAATCATAGCCTTCCCTTTCAAGGTCACATGTGGGGAAGTTGATGGTCGGATTCGTCATAGCATGTTGGCTACAAACGAGAGCTAGGAGGTCTCATGAATCGATAAAAGGTATTTTGGACCTTGTCGTACGATTCCATAAGGAGGAAAGATGCTTGGGGGATGGTAAGTAGTGAAAGATGGTCGGGATGCGATAAGCTATCTGATCCCCAAGCATATCCTCAAATGTCACTTTGAATCCGTGAGGATTGGTTACCTCTCACGTGGGACTCATTTTCAAAATATTTTTCTCTCTTTTCTTTCTTTTATAATACGCACAAATTTGTAAAAGCTTCGAGTTAACAAAACAAATAAAAGAGAATCCTGCTCACCAACGTCTCATAAGCATTCACCAACATCTCCTATTCATAAACAAGGGAGGATACTAGCAATTCGTTGTTCAACCAATCATTATAATCATTCAAGCATTCACACACATCCCCCCACCCTACTTGAGCAACACATTGTCCTCAATGTGGGAGTTTTATTAGAGAAGATCATGAAGATTACCATAGGTTGGGTTGCATGTTGGTGAAGGTACACAAGTGTAGGTTTTTGTCTTCCTGGTGGTTTTCACAATGATAAAGCGCATAAGAAAGAGAGGAAGATGATTAAGAGTTATCGGTACGATAGATATATAATATAAGTCCTAATACTACTAGAGATAGAATATGTAAAGTACGAAAAGTAAAACAAAAATAAAGCAATAATTAAACATTATTTTAATTAAAATAAATGAAAAGCAAAGAAAAAGAACAGATAGAACTTACGCCCTGGATGCCTAGCACTCAATCCTCCTCGGAGGGTCCTTTTTCTTCTTCTTTTTGGAGTGGTGCAAGAGGAGTGGAGCGATCAAGTTGGGGCGATACATCTTCTATCGGAATTTCCATCTTCTTCATAATAGCATGAATGCACATCATGATGTGGAGCCGCGCTTCCTTTTCCCTCCTTTGATCGTGAAGGATCGTCGTTATCATTGCTTCGACTCTATAGCCCCTAGTGTTGTTGATTGGTGGGGAAACCGGTTGAGAAGTGGGTAGAGGTGCCTCTCCTCCCTCATATATGCTCTCCATTTGATCTTCCTTGGTTGCAAGTCCTCTTCGTTCTCTCGCCACCTTAGTTTTCGGAAGACGGAACATGGTACCCTACACGTCCAACGTGTTAGTGGTTGGAAACGGAAGTCCCTGCACTCCCCAAATGGCAACATCATTCATAGGTAGAACTTTGATTTTCGACTTCAAAACTTCAAAGGACATAGGAGTGGTCCTAGTATCCAACCAAAATTGTGCGGCCGTGAAGACCACTTGAAAATACTTGGCTAGACGAGTGACAAAAATTCCTCCATGAAGGGCGGCGAGTCGATGGTCCGATTCATAATGCTTGAAGATAGACAAGATAGCCAAATCGAGATGAATAGATTGAGGTATTTGCATACTATGGAAGAAGGTGATGTCTCAGGTAGTCAAATTGCCTTTGCTCCGGTTCTTTCCACCCACGGATCTAGCAATCACGTGGTGATGAGCCACCACTCCGGTTTCACCATAATAGCTTTTGAGAGCTTGACATCCCACTATCAGTGTTAGATCTCTTGACTTCATATTCATAGAAGGACTTTCAACATGGAAAGTCGAATTCCCTTATCAAGGTAGCAAAAGTGTCTGGTGAGTCGATGAAATCGGCCGGGTAAATATCCATGACTCTTTTAAATTCCCAAATCGATAGTTGCCGATGCTCTCCTCCTAGTTGGAATTGGATGTTGTCTTCAAGGTCGGCAGCACCTCTTAAATCTCGAATGGTAAGAGTGCTAATTAGACTTGGCAATCGGGTCGGGTTGGATAATTTCGGATTGTGGCCTTCGGTTACAGGTCGGGTCATGTTGAGTGGGCTGATTTTGGGTCACATATATTGACCCAACCCATTTTGTTTCGGATCGGGTTACAGGTCGTTTCAGGTTATGAGCGGCCTCAGAAACAATATCAAACATGTTTCATATTTTCTTAAAGAACACAAATTTTCACATATGCATGACAATAGTTTATCTAACACATGTCAATTGATATATTCTCAAAAATGCTCCCATGCTAATGTAATGAAATACAAATTGCGCAAATAGTAAAAAAAACAAACACAAGAGTAATACTACTACAAGAAACAATGATATTTGATTATCCTTAAATTCCAAACTTGTCATTCAAATCCTTGTGAATTTTTTAAACAACTCACCAATTTATGAGTGATTTTATCATTTTGAGAGTGATATATAAAATTGAACGGGTCTAACGGGTTGACCCGCTAACCCACCCAACCCAAAAAATCATGGGTTATCGGGTTCGGGTCATTCAAGTTTCGAGTTATAAAAATTACTTCTTTTCAAACGGGTTCGGGTCGTGTCAACAGGTCAGGTTGTAATTTGCCAGGTCTAGTGCTAATGAACTCCAGAACAAGTACGTGATAAATGTTTTCTTGAATGGATAGTAGTTTAAGCCATTCCGACTTCTGAATCTTGGATCAGATTGTATCCTTGATCGCAAAGTTGTTCAAAGAGTATCCATTTGAGACATGTACTCTCGCCTACAGGAAGTCCTTGAAGCCATTGAAGTTTGGTCTTAAATTGCTCGGGGACATGTTCCAAGAAGTAGTGAGTGATGTTCTCTATGCCGCCTTCGACATTGGATAGATTATCTTGGTGAATTTCCCTTGATAGATGTGGGAGAAGTGATGGTGCATGAGGTTCTTCAACAACTACTCCCTTTGAACGGGACTTTCTTGTCTTCTTCCGATGGCCTGGTCGAGGGTGAGAGGTACGAGAGGA